AGCAAGTAATAATTTATGATTGATGCTGTCAAAGGCTTTCGAATAGTCTATAGAAATTAAGGCTAGTGCCATTTTCTTATCTAAGGCACTTAAAATATTGTCTTGCAGATTAAGTAGGGCAGATGTTGTACTATAATTTTTTCTAAATCCGGATTGAGTGTCGGGAAGTATAAAGAATTTTTCTAGGTAAGCGGTCAATTGGAACTTTATAATTTTTTCTAAAATTTTGGATAAAATTGGTAATAAGCTGATAGGTCTGAGATCATTATACTCAGTGGGTTTCATTTTTTTAGGAATTGGAATAATTAGAGCTTGTTTCCATGTGTTTGGAAAGTAGCCTTTTTCCAAACAGTCGTTAAAGATGTGGACGATGTGATGGAGAATAACTGGCAGGCAAAGCTGGATCATTGACAGGGATATACCATCAATTCCCTTCAGATTTTAGGCTCCCTATTGCCTGTAATACGTCATTTGAACTAATCTTATTCAATGAAAAAATATATTCAGAGCTCAATTTATTTTTGAAATAGTTTTCGCAAACTAGTGAATCAACAGGTTTATAGCTATAAACAGACATAAAATAATCATTAATTTTGGTAGGGTCATTAAAACTTGCCGGAAGGGTTGGTTTACTACGAAAATTTATATCAAGTTGTTTGAGAGACTTCCATAATTTTTTTCAATCATTTTCATTTGCCAAATTTTCGATATATGTCTTTTTGTCCCTCCTGATCATGTTAAGAGCACGGTTTCTAAGCGATTTGAAGTTATTATAGGCGTCCACGGACTTATTAGTTTTATATAAAGCTTGTGCAGTATTCTTTTCATCAAGAACAGTGCGTAGTTCATTTGTTAACCAAGCTGATAGTGGCTTATTAACTCTTACAGTTTTAAAAGGTGCATGTTTATTATAGGTGTCCACGATAACGCTTGTAATGTGCATTACCTTCTCATCAATGTTAGATTTCGTAAATAATTCATCTATGCCCGATGTAGAAAGATCGATAAGAAAATCATCCTCACTGAAATGTTTAAAATCCCCGATTGTGATAAATTTTTGTTTTCTTTTATAAGATGGAATGTCAAAATGAAAAAACTTTGTGGTCCGAAATACCATTAGTGTCCATGACAGAAGAATAGCTGCATATTTGAGGATTATTTAAAAATATTGGATCGATTAATGTTGCAGTACTATCTGTGACACGGGTGGCTTCCGTTACGATTTGTGTGAACCCCATCAGCTCAAAACTCAGTGAGAATTATTATATTATGAATTTATATAGTAAAATCGAAGTAAAAAATACTAATTTTGGTTAAGACGTTCTGTAAAATGCGCCATTTAAACTCACCCGCGAGTTTGATAAACAAGATATCAGTTCCCAACATATACAGGGTGTCCCAGAAGTCGACGTCAAGCCGAAACCGGGTGATAGGCAAAGTCATAACAGCTATCAGAAAAATATTTAAAAAAATTTTATGTATGTGTTTTGAAATTATGGGTCTTTGAAAAAGATATAGAAATTTCACACCCTACGACAGTCTGTCAACTCCTGTTACTACAAATATTAACTTATTTTGGATTTTATTTTACAATGTAATGATGAATAATGCATCTTCAAACTGGTGTCTCAACCTTACTGCCAACTTTTCTCGTTCAGGAAAAATTGCCACTTATTTCCCAACCAAGTATTCCAAAGTAAAACTTTGCTCAACTTTAACTGGCTGTACTGGAAAAAAATGTACTACGAGAGTTTGGCAAGTAACGTTAAAAGTTGGCGTATTTAATAACGATTCCAAAATGGTATAACACTTAGAAGATTACTCGTTAACTTATGCACAATTTTTATTTGAAAAAAACTGATGAAAATTTTTCAAAATTTTTTAATTAAACAGCGATTATGAAAACGCACAAGGACCCTTAAGGATAACTGTTTGCACAACAGTGGGCGTCAAAATGCTGCTGATGATGATTTACCTTTACAGCAAATGCTCAAACTGTTTTCCTTCAGCCGCAATACACGCTCGACATCTTAAAAAAGATCGGGTTATTAAACGAGCGAATCCACGGTTATTAACAAACTCAGCTGCTTACAATAGTCTTTGCCGTAGCTCAGCTACATTTTGAATCGGCCTGAAATACACTTTTTCTTTTACAGTTCCCCAGTAAAAAAATCTAAAGGATTCAAATCAGGTGATCGGGCTGGCCACGGTATTGTACCAGACCGCCTTATCCATCTGCCTGGAAAGTTTTGATCGAGATACTCTCTCACTGAGAGTGCATAGTGCGCTGGGCAGCCATCATGCTGAAACCACATGTCCCTGTAACTACTCAGTGGCACGTCCACCAATAAATTTTGTACATGATTTTTCAAAAAATCCAAATAAACTTCAGCATCCATACCACGTACAGCGTGTTCAAGCTCTTCTGCCCCGGGATTATGAGCCCCGAGTTGCTTTTTGTCGCACAATGTTAGAAAGACACAGGGAAGATCCACGGTTCTTTGAAAAACTTTTATGGTCAGATGAGACCACATTTAAGAAAGATGGGTACATGAACTTGCATAACTTACACGAGTGGCACGTAGCAAACCCACATTTGATGAGAGAAGATAAATCTCAATATCGTTTCAAGATAAACCATTGGACAGGAATTTTAAATGGTAAAATAATCGGTCCGTTTGAGTTCCCAGAGACTTTGACTGTTGAGGTTGATTTAGGTTTTTTGCAAAATCATTTAGAAAATTTATTGGAGGACGTGCCACTGAGTATTTACAGGGACCTGTGGTTTCAGCATGATGGCTGCCCAGCGCACTATGCACTCTCAGTGAGAGAGTATCTCGATCAAAACTTTCCAGGCAGATGGATAAGGTGGTCTGGTACAATACCGTGGACAGCCCGGTCACCAGATTTGAATCCGTTAGATTTTTTTTACTGGGGAACTGTAAAAGAAAAAGTGTATTTCAAGCCGATTAAAAATGTAGCTGAGCTACGGCAAAGACTATTGGAAGCAGCTGTGTTTGTTAATAACCGTGGATTCGCTCGTTTAATAACCCGATCTTTTTTAAGAAGATGTCGAGCGTGTATTGCGGCTGAAGGAAAACAGTTTGAGCATTTGCTGTAAAAGGTAAATCATCATCAGCAGCATTTTGAGGCCCACTGTTGTGCAAACAGTTATCCTTAAGGGTCCTTGTGCGTTTTCATAATCGCTGTTTAATTAGGAAATTTTGAAAAATGTTCATCAGTTTTTCTTCAAATAAAAATTGTGCATAAGTTAACGAGTGTTATACCATTTTGGAATCGTTATTAAATGCGCCAACTTTTAAGTTTACTTGCCAAACTCTCGTAGTACATTTTTTTCCAGTACAGCCAGTTAAAGTTGAGCAAAGTTTTACTTTGGAATACTTGGTTGGGAAAAAGTGGCAATTTTTCCTGAACGAGAAAAGTTGGCAGTAAGGTTGAGACACCAGGTTGAAGATGCATTATTCATCATTACATTGTAAAAATAAAATCCAAAAAAAGTTAATATTTGTAGTAACAGGAGTTGACAGACTGCCGTAGGGTGTGAAATTTCTATATTTTTTTCAAAGACCTATAATTTTCAAAACACATACATAAAATTTTTTTAAATATTTTTCTGATAGCTGCTATGACTTTGCCTATCACGCGGTTTCGGCTTGACGTCGACTTCTGGGACACCCTGTATGCTCAAAAAAATTAATAACAAAACAAAGATAAATTGCTTAGATGGATATTTGAAATACGAATAAAAAGTTATTTCCGTGTTCGATTATCAAAGAAAAAAAAATAAAGCGAACTCACCCTTTTACTGTGGTGGTTAAAAGATAATCCAACGTTATGCACATCTTAGATTTCATTTAGACTGCAACTGTTTAATATAACAAAAGCGGGGTACAGCTAGACACAAATTGATGGAAAGAAGAAACGGTGTTTCTGAATAGTAAAAATATGAACTATTTTTTGTTATATTTGACGTTTTGCCTTTTTGTCGATACATATTATCTGGTGGTGGTTATTGTATCAATGCATACTTAAATCTGCTATGTATGTTCCTTTGTTTACTTTTTGATTTCCGACATTTCCTGGAAAATCCTATTTTTATAATGACCGAGTCTAGATAGACTCGTTTCAGGATGTTCTTCGACTTCGTGCAGCACTGCTTCCTCAATTTCAGGTGTTCTCACACTTAGAGGTCTACCTTCAGACGTTCCTTTTTGGACAGAACCAGTTTCAACAAGACGACGATGAATATTAGAAAAGGTTCGACTATCGGGCAAAGCACGATCGGGATATCTCTGGTGATAAATCCGTCTGACTTGCTCACCATTACCGTCGGCAAGGCCATATACGTAACGCATTTCCGCCATTTCTGCATTTGAATAACCATTATTAAAACTAAATAATGAAAAAGATGTCACAGCGAACAGATTTGAATAACAGAGACTTGTCAGATGTCAAATTCCAGAGCAACTACATTAATTTTCTCGGACAATAGAACGGTTTTTATTTCTTTACTCAAAAATGGCGCATCGAAGCAAAACAATTCAAGACAGATCATTTGTTTTAAATTGAATAAGGAATCCAAAAATAATTTACATTTGGCAAAAAACCATTGACGTACAATTTTTTTCTTAAAAACTATCGAAGTCAATACCGGTACGCACGTCACTGTTAAAGCTAAACATTATTTTTGCACTGAAAAATATGCAGCTTTATTAACTCTCACTGTGTACTAAATATCAGCGGAGTATCTGGAGGGGTTCTGAAAATATTAATTAATTTCCATTTTTTTCCTGAAACTTCAATACCCCGAGTTTTTGTAAGGAAACATTTTTGGACCATCATTAAATTTCAACCCGAAGCAAATCGTCGCGAGGTTTTTGTTAGCGCGTGCTGAAGAAAGTGGATTGAATTGAAGTTCTTCTGCTATAAGCAAAGGAAGCGAAGTATATTTATAGTTTCTTTTCTATTCTGTTTCACAGAAAGGACGTAATGGCACGATACGAAACCCTGTACCATCAACACAGACCGAGGGCACTGGAAGCGCTGGATGCTTTGCCAGAATTAAGACATGCAACCCAACTCAAATCGAAAATTTTATTTTCAGTTGTAGTGGTAAGTCCCATAGTTTATTTATCGAAAATTAACTACGCTGCTATGCGAAGTCCGTCGCAAAAACTTTGTTGCTCCTACTAAATATTCGATAACCTCGATTTTTTGTATTTTCTGTCACCTTATCTATATAGTTATTTTCCTAACCAGTGCAAATAGATACTTTCCGCAAGAGTTAGGAAACATTTTTTTCTACCAGCGCGTAACAGGAAAAAACAAAGTTGGGGTTTTCCTTTTCAGAAACAACTACCCTTGAAATAACAAAGGTAATGTGTAGTGAAACGAGGGCGACCAAGTAAAAAAAAAAATAAAGGAAAAAGTACTCACTCTCCAGTTGACGAGAAGGGCTAAGTACGTCTCTGCCCGAAATCATACCGCTCAAACAGAAAATGAAATCAGCTGATGCGCTACCGAGCAGACGCCGGCGGTGGTGCAGACCACGAACAGAGGTAACAAATATGACGGCGTTGCCGCGTTTTCAGTTTTTAGGTAAACGTACTTTATAGGTATTGTTCGAAGTTATCGCCGTTTGATTCAAAAACACAGGTGCGTGCACGACGTAGCCAAGCGTCGGTGCAGGCTTTGAGAATGGAGTCCCTCCCCCGAATGCAAGCACCAGCTTGTTCAATTCTGAGACGAAGTTCGTCAACCGTATGCACTTCAGTTTTGTACACTAAGCGTTTCATTTCTCCCCAAAGAAAAAAATCACATGGTGTTAAGTCTGGAGATCGCGGAGGCCACGCTACGGGTCCATTACGTCCGATCCACCTATTCGGAAATAATTCATTCAAAAACTCACGCACTTCGCATCTAAAATGGGGCGGTGCACTATCGTGCAGAAACCGCATTGATTGTCTTACACTTAATGGCACATCTTCTAACAAGGAAGACAAAATGTTGCGTAAAAAGTCTAGGTATTGCATCCCGTCCAATCGATTTGGGAGAATAAATGGTCCAATGAGCATACCGTTCACCATGCCAGCCCAAACATTCACCGAAAATGTTTGTTGAAAATGTGCCCGACGGACAGCGTGCGGATTTTCAAAATATAAACAATATTTTACCTTTGGTGCAATAAATTCTTTTACAAATTTAATTGTATCAGCTTCAAAGTTGTTCTTTGATAATTGAACAGATATTCGCTGTTTGTTCACATGTAATCTACTAATTACTGGATCAGCTGGTTCGAGGTTTACTTCGGAAATAATAATTTGATTTTTTGCACAATTTACTGCTGTATCACTAATTGGAATATTTATCGTGGGATTTTCTATATTAGAATGAACGGTGTGTCCTGATGAATCATTTTCATTTTCATCAATTTTATCTAAATCATTGGGTTGAGGTGCGATCGAATAGTTATCGGTCTGATTGGGAATATTGGAAATATTCGATGGACCTGCTTGATTTTCAAGATTTCTATTAAATTCTTTCATGTATTGTGCCAGTGGAGTCGGTGCTCCTGTTTCATTAACATTTACTTCTATTCTAGATAAAAGTCCGCATTTGTGTTTGATTTGCCTTTCCTGTAAACAATGTCAAAATCATGTTCTTCTAATCTTAAGCGCCATCTTAATAATTTTGAACTAGCATCTCTAACTGAAAATAACCATTGGAGGCTTTTGTGATCTGTTACAATAGTAAACTTACGTCCGAAAATATAAGGTCTGAAATATTTTACTGCATATACGATACTTAGAAGTTCCTTTTCTGTCGTGCTATACTTTGTTTCTGAATCACTTAATGTTCGTGAGGCGTACGCTATTGGTAAATCTGAGCCTAATTTACCTTGGGATAATATTGCGCCGATTGCATAATTACTCGCATCTGTAGTTATCAAGAATGGTTTGGAAAAATCCGGATATTGGAGTATCGGATCGTTTGTCAATAAAGTCTTGCATAATTCGAAACATTTAATATAATCTGCGTCATTGGGATTAATAATTGCAACTTTTTTTAATCTGATTGTCAATGGCTTAGTGATTTTCGCAAAATCTTTTATAAACTTACGGTAATAACCTAAAAGTCCAAGGAAGCCTTTAATTTGCTTCTTAGTTTTTGGTATTTTAAATTCTGTGATTCTACTGACCAAACATGAGTGTTGCAAAAGTTATTCACCCCATTACGCGTGAACGTAGATTCGTCTGTCACCGATATGCACTTCAAAAAGTCCGGATTATTGTCATGTTGATGCAACAACCACTCACAAAACCGCACTCTTGCTGGAAAATCGTCAGGTTGAAGGGCTTGTACACGTTGGACGTGAAACGGATACAGCCCCTCTTCACGCAGCGTTTGCCACACTTTAGTTTTTGATACTTGCACTTCTCTAGCCACGTCTCTAGTGCTTGTTGTTTTTGAAACGCAATCGTTTATACGGGTTCGTTTACCTCTACACGCGTAACCGTAACCGTCGGTTGAAGGTTGCATACTGACCTGACACACTGACCCCGACCCAGTTCTGTCGTCGGGTTGAGCTAGTGTCCAAGTACCACTCGGGGATGTCGCGGCTACAGGACGGTATTCAGATATTTTTGATATTATATATTGTAACAATTTACTCAAGTATCAAATGAAATCAGCCTCCAGAATGTGACAACTGTCTTTCATTTATTTTGACAATGACATAATATTTCAAATGGGAAAATCCATATAAATTTGTCTCCTAAAAAGTCTAGTTTTTAAGATACAGGGTGTCAAAGTTCATTTTTTTAATTCTTCATCAATCTTTCAAAGATCCTTGTGCCGATTTAGTTGAATCTTGGCAGAATTATTTATTGCAATCAGACGCTAAGGATACCGGTAACTAAAAGATAATTAGGATCTCCAGTGGCGTCGCAGGGAACAGTTACGAATATTACCGACAAAAAAATGGAAGCAACGATGTTTAAAAACAAATCGAATATTTTTGAACTAAGCAGATGAAAATACAACTTTTTTCTCTCTTGGTATCCTACATCGTTTTCGATGCAAAAAATCATAAATAAAATAGAAAATATATTTTTAAAAACAAGCTTTGATTTGGCTGTGCATGGAATGAACCAAAAACTCAAAAAAAAATCCGATTGGAAGTATTTAAACAGTGATGAAATCTCTCCCTATCTCAAATTTTCAAATGAAAGCCTGTTACACCCTGCTGTCAAAACGCAGCTCGCTTTTACTTGAAACTTGAGATGGAGGAGACTCATCATCGTTTAAATATAACCAATTGTAAAAAAATATTTTTAAAATTTTAGTTCATCATTTGAAAGGCTAAATAAAAGCTTGTTTTCAAAAACCATTTTTTATCTTATGTACTTGTTACTGTTTAGTATCTATGTCAAATAATTGGTTTGGTTATTTCTATATAAGTTTCATATTTATATTTCATTGATAGGACTTCATACATCTTTTTAACATCAGTATTATAACTTTTCGGTATATATAAATCATATAACGATGAACCAATATTTTTCGGCGTTCACTATATGAAATTTAAATTTACCTTATATGCTTATCGTGTTTCTCTCATTTGGCCCTTTCATTTGACATCCATCTCACAGCGGTAACCATGAAAATTATGAATCTCCATTCAGCAGCTTCCGCCATATTGGATCTAGAATGACGTCACTTTGCTTACTACGAGGGATGTCCTTTAAGTTTTGCATATAGAAACGTAGTAGGCCGCGCGGATCGAACGTCAGTCCTGAATCTTAACCTCACTCTTTAGTAAACTTAAATTCAAAGTTTCACAACAATACGTGCAGCGTTCTCACTACAGTGAATTTTTAAGTGTCAGCAAGTCATTAGAAAAATGGAACTCAGCCGAGAACATTTTCGCGCCAAAATTTATTACAACTTTCAGGGACAATTATCGCAACAAGAATGCCTTGCTGAGTTACTCAAAAAATGTGTACAGCATTGTTAGTGGTGATGAATCGTGGATTTACTGTTATGAACCAGAAAATAAACGACAGTCGGCTGTTTGGGTGTTCCAAGGTGAAGAAAAGCCAACAAAAGTCATCCGTTCTCGAAGTGTTTCGAAAAAGATGGTCGCGATATTTGCGTTAAAAGCGGGTCATACTGCAACAATTCCTCTTAATGAGCAAAGAACTGTTACTGCGGTTTGGTACACCAACATTTGTTTGCCAAAAGTCATCACCGAGCTTCGAAAAATCAGCCCCGAAAGAAGAATCATCCTCCACCCAGACAATGAAAGCTCGCTCACAGCCCGAAAAACAAGGCAGTATTTAACTGAAGAAAACGTGAAATTATTGGACCGTCCTCCATATAGTCCCGATCTAAGTCCTAACGATTTCTTTACTTCCCCGAAAATTAAAAACAGACTGCGTAGTCAAAGGTTCCAGTCACCAGAAGAAGCAGTTGACGCATTCAGAAATGCCGTTTTGGATCGGCCAGCAAACTAGTGGAATAAGTGCTTCGAAAATTGGTTCGAGCGCATGCAGATGTGTATTAATCTTCGTGGAGAATACTTCGAAAAACAATGAAGTCATTTAAAACTACCTACCTTGTTGTTTTATTTCCATATGCAAAACTTAAAAGACATACCTCGTATGTTTCCCTCATCAAACCGTTTCATTTGACGCCCATATTATAACGGTTTCTTTGAAAAATGTAAATCGTCATTTTGCGGCGGCCGCCATGTTGACGTCACTCTACTTATTGTGTTTCTCATCAAGCTCTTTCATTTGATACCCATATCATAGTGGCGATTGTAAAAAACGTACGACTGCCATATAGGATATAGAATGACGGCACTCTGCTTATTCCGTTTCTCTCACCAAGCCCTTTTATTTGATGCCTATATCGTAGGAGAGACATTGAAAAACGTAAATCGCTATTTTGCGACCGCCACCATATTAAATTTATACTAAGTGACATATAAATCCGAACACCCAGTTTAAATGGTTTTATTTTAATAAAATTTTGTATAAGTACTTAATGAAGCATAATAAGTAAATGATAAAAATTTCAAAATGATTGCACTGCTTTAAAGCCCTTTG